GCGCCAACAGATTCCGTAGCGCTTTACAATATTTTGAGAGGGGGATTTAACTATAAATAGGACAATTACAAAAATAACTTACAGGAACAATAGGTTGAAGAGGACCCTGCTCAATTGAGCTTACATTCTATAAGTTTATTCATTACATTCCTGAAACCTGTTTCACATGTTGATTTGTGTGTGTATGTATGTATGTGTGTGTGTATATATATTTATATATTTTAGTAATAGCATGTTTTAAATGATTCATCCTATTTGAATGGATCCTGGCTTGCTCTACACTGCATGCAGCAACGTAATGTGGTCTTTATGGTCATAAAGTACCCATTGTGTTTGTGGTCTGATTCTTCAAATTAATTGGGTAATATCTTGACATGTTTGCCACTTATATTAGTTTAAGGCAAATAAGGAACTTTGACAATACAATTTTATGTACACCTGTATGTACTGGTGTTAGTTTAAACACCTCATATTGCTTAAATTATAATCTGATATGTTTAGACGCACAGTTCTAACATAGAACAATAGACTAAAATGTCTTATCGCAAGAGCAATATAATGGAATAATAGAACTACAACAAATATAGTTGGGATTTGCAGAAGAGACACATTTAGCATCTCAAAATCAAAAGAATTGGTATAAAAAAACCTATACATGTTGATTAGGGATGCTCCACGAAGGAAAATGACTTGTGGAAGGGGAAAAAGTAAAATGTTCCGTCCATACAACATGTATTGACAGGAATATTGTGTATCATACACCAATAGTCGTGGTCTACGTAGAAACCATTAACTCTATTTAAAGCTGTGTGGGACAATTTGATTGAGGAATTGGACAAGAAACAGACATAAGCCATGTTTTTGCAAATGCTGCGCAATACATAGTTTTTTTTTGTTTTTTTTTAACAACAAAATTCCACTGTGGTGTATCTAAGCAAATTACTGTAGTTTTTCTTGCAATAGATGATACCAAATACTGACTCAAAAAATTTTAGTTTTTAAGAAAATTGTATCAATTTTTCTTAGTGTATAATTCAATGGGATATTGATAGGTTAATTCATTTTCTATCTAGAGGAGTTTAGCAAATGGCAAACCACAGCTTTAGCATTAAGAACCTTTCGCTAGCTATTTGGCTGCGGTTTCAGTTGTTTCACTTTAAGAATACACATTGGAATATCTAAAATCACTTACGCTTTCCCAAAGGTATCTTGCTTTTTTGCTTCTAGAGATGGCTACAATAGTATGTGCTCAGACACCAAACGGCATGTCATGTACAACAATATTGATGGATTTATAAAAATAGTCTAAATGAGTGAACTGTGCAGTGAAGCCAAGAGACATGAAGAAGCAAAAAGCATATTTGTTGGTTAAGGGGGAGGAGGGAGAAGAATCCTGTAAACTTTTTATGTAGTTGGAACTTTCACAAAAATGAAGCATTGTGATGTCTCTAGTGTGAGTAACCTCTGGTTCCCAGACAAAGACTTGAAGTAGCCAACAATATATGACATTTTATAAATACCACACTGCCATAAGTGGTAGCTGTCTGAGAAAAACAAATTCTAGTTAAACTTCTGAATTATCCTAATATTTTCAAGGATACCAAATTAACACTTTTGTAGACATACCTTGGAATTGCATAGAAGGACCCTAAAATACAGTCTAAATGTACTGGACGCCTCTATTATAAACATGAATGTATGCTTATGTAGAATATTTTATATATTAGAGCGATGTTTTTTTTTTAAATTTTTTTTATTGCTACTAGAAAACTTTTATCAATAAACGGCAATCTCTGCGTTTGGATTCCAATATTGTTGAATGGGTTAGGCAGTCGCTGAGTGACCGGCAACAGTGGGTTGTAGTTAATGGAGTATATTCAAAGCAAGGTCTTGTTACCAGTAGGGTACCTCAGGGACCTGTACTGGGCTCACTCTCTTTAATATTTTTATTAGTGATATTGCAGAAGGTCTTGGTGGTAAGGTATGTCTCTTTTTCCTGATGATACGAAGATTTGCAACCGGGTTGATGTTTCAGGAGAGATAAGCCAAATGGTGAATGATTTAGGTAAACTAGAAAAATGGTCAGAGCTGTGGCAACTGACATTTAATGTGGATTAGTGCAAGATAATGCATCTTGGGCATAAAAACCCAAGGGCAGAATATAGAATAGTTAATACAGTCCTAACATCAGAGGAAAGGGATTTAGGGGTAATTCTTTCAAATTACTTAAAGGTAGGCAGACAATGTAATAGAGCAGCAGGAAATGCTAGCAGAATGCTTGGTTGTATAGGGAGAAGTATTAGCAGTAGAAAAAGGAAGTGCTCATGACATTGTACAGAACACTGGTGAGACCTCACTTGGAGTATTGTACGCAGTACTGGAAACCGTATCTCCAGAAGGATATTGATGCCTTAGAGAAGGTTCAGAGAAAGGCTACTAAACTGGTTCATGGATTGCAGGGTAAAACTTACCTGGAAAGGTTAAAGGTATCTTGTATATAATGTAGGAAAGACAAGGCAGGGGGGATAAGATAGAAACCTTTAAATGCATATAGGGAATCAACAAAGTAAAGGAGCAGACTATATTTAAAAGAAGGAAAACTACCTCAAAAATTGAATCTAGTCTTAAACTAGCTTCACTAATAGTGACGGAATTTAAGAATGTGAGGGATAAGCATAAGACTACACAAAACGGTAAGAAGATTCTGTGACTGGGTCACACCAGTATACATGCACAGAAATGCATATAACTGTAAGGATGTCCACTGTCACAGAATTAATACACCAGTGAGACACTCCAAGGGTGTCCAAACATTTTTAGAAGTATGATGGCTTGCTAATCATTTCTTTTGTCAGTTTCCATTGCCTATTTAGCTAGATTCCAAGTGTGAGAGGCTTGTTCTATCCTTTTCTTTAATTTATATTTTATACTACATGGATGGTACTAGGTGGACTCTGCATACCATGATAATCCACTTGGATTCAGTAATAGTGTTTGAAATATATATCAATGTGCATCTGAGGAAATCATTCTGGTTATATTGGTTCAGTCTATATTATACTGAAAAGGAGATAGACTTATAATGCCGGTACTCCATGCTATTTGAGATATTATAAGGTCTCATGCATCAGGGGTTTTGATCCTATTTAGATAGGAATCTAACTATGCACTACTTAGGATTTACCTTTTTATCAAACAAATGTTTACATTGGCCAGTTGTACAATAAAACCAGTTGTGTGCATGTTATTTTCTGGTTGAATAGTAGTGAAAGGTATAGGGACAGCCTTATAAGGCTTGGATAACTAATTGGCCATCTTTGTTAATTTTATTACTTTTTTTTTAGTTTCTGTTACAATTACCTTTATTGTAGCCATCTACCATTTATTTCTGAAGAATACGGTTTTATATCCAGGGGGCCCGTTCTCACAATTGTGAGACGATTTTAGCCTTCCTATTTTTTTTTTCTGTAAGCATAAGACTATCCTAGATGTAAGGTCAGGGACTAATGAAAGTATTTAGAAAATTGGGCAGACTAGATGGGCCAAACAGTTCTTGTCTCCCGTCACATTCTAAGTTCTCGAAGCCTGCAAGCCCATAGTTCATGGTGCACTCACCAAGGGTGCTCGACAAGACCGTTTTTTAACTCTCCAATGGCTAGTAGGTGAGTGGGACATACTGAGCCATGTTTATTGAACTTTGAAAGGGGAATATTTGTATACTGTAAAAGAAAAAAAGAAAAACTATAGCTAACAAAGATTGATTGCTTTTTAGCTATAAAGTTAGGTCTGTTGTGAAAAGCAGACACCCACAGGAGATGAAATATCTTGAACTATCTAATATGTTACAGCTTAAATATATTGGTTTATTTTTTTCTTTAAAAGCAAATATGAAATGAACACCTATACTCAAGATAGGAGGGGATGGGCGACCATCTATCGTAATCCAACTTTGGACTAGTCAAAGTACTTGCCCATGATGATCCTGGAATAGGTCATTTTAGTAGCTGGAGAATTGCATCATACCCAAATGTGTAGTGATGCAACCCAAAATATTTAACTCCCTAATACACAAGTCTGTCCCGTCTTCACCCTTATGCTCTGCAGAAGACCTACGTGTATCCTTTACTTGCCTTCAAAACTTCTCTAGGGCTGCTCCCTTCAGGGGGAACTCCTTTCACTTCTCCATTAGACTTTCACCTGGTCTTCATTCCTTCAAGCAATCATTAAATATTCACTTCTTCAGGAAAGCATATCCGTTAAACTGTTACGTTTTCCGTTCCTGCACCCTGATCCTGCAACTGTTGTGTTTAAAAATAAAAAAAACACACACCAAGCACTCAGTGCATACTATGTTCTACTTTTCATCCCTACCCTTACCTTTTGGGTCACTATACCCCACTCCATCTAGCATGTAAGCTCATTGAGTAGGGCCCTCAATCCCTCTGTTCCTGTGTGTCCAACTCATCTGGTGACAAAACATGTCTGTTGGTTCACCCATTGTACAGCGCTACAGAATTTTAGTGCTTTATAAATAACTGGCACATATTTCATAAACCAATGTGTTTGTGGTGGTTTTCATTGAAAATTTGTTAAAAGGACAAAAGGCACCTGAACCCCTACCGCTTAATGTAGTGGATCTGGCATCTAGAGCCTATCCCTGCAGACTGAGCAGATTAAACATTGTCTCTTTTTGAAGATAAAAAGGGATTACTTTGCTACTTAAGGCCACAACTAGTGGCTATCATTTTTTTTTTCTCTCCTCTAAAGGAAACCACTAGTAACTTTTTGTAGAATTCAATGAAGGGGCATGAAATAGCATGCAGGTAAAATGTAAATTATTGGATATGAAAGCATTGCTATACAAAGTCTTAAGCATCCAATAGTCTTGAAGATTATTATTTTTTTTTTTTTTTTAATCTAGGTAATTTTTTTTAAATTTTTTTTATTTTTTTTAAATCCTTGTCACTTTCTACCTCAAGATGTTACTTTTCAATATCTATAAGCAGGTTCACTGATATGCCTAGTTTGTTCTAAAACATGACTATTTTGATAGAATAAACAAACTGTATTTTGACTGTATTTTATTTTGTAGACCTGGATGTCCTGTCCCCTTTACCCTGACTTGCTTTTGTGTGAATTATACCAGGTATCTCAAATGGAGTATCCTGGTGTTGGTGACCATCTGTCTGCCAGAATGTTCTAATTTTTCTGTTGAGGGTTCCCCACTGCAGTGAGAATTGTTGGGAATTCAAAGTGATTTCCTGATTAAAGTCCAACGTAGACAAACTGAAAATATAGCTAAATTGAATACTTCTTCCAGTATGGCTATTTTGGCTTTACAAAATTAACTTTGAATTCATCAAAATTCTCACTTAAGTGCATAACCCTGTACTTGTTGGGTGAGTGCTTAGTGCTTACCATCTGGCATTTTTGCACCTTGAGCTGTTTTCTCTGCACTTAACTTTTGCCTTTATATGGGCACCTTACATTTTGGAAAGATAGGAATATACATTTTAGGTATCAAAAGTGGTCCATATTCTAAACTGCTACTTTTTTTTCTAATCATATGAGCTGTAAGTTGGAGTAGATACTATGCTTTATGATCCACTTTAGGTTAATGGCCAGGAAAAGAAAATCACTTTAAGTATGACAAAATCTTAATAGGTTTAGTGCAGACTACATTATTGCAACACAAAACTATCCGAACTGTCTGAAATATGATGGAATGTTGACATTATATGATCATTTAATGGAGAGTGCACACAATAAGATCGTCTGTGTGCCACATCTGGATGTAGACAGAATATGCAAAATGTTACTTTAAGATGTTAATTAATTCTGATATTTCTTATAGGAATGATTTTTTTTTTTTTTTTTCTGACTGTTTGACTGGTCACTAGTTTATGTTAATCTTGGGGTAGAACAAAGCCATACTGTTTATGCATGTGACGTTGTATCGATTGTGTGCTTCCCACATAATTTCCAAGCTAAAGATCCAATTTAGAATCATGGAGTCCTGAAGCTGAACAGTGCATGCTCTTTTTTTTCCTTCTGGGGCCTTCTTAAAACTGAAGTTAATTTAATTATTTTATTCATACCGATCTTATGGAACATTTAGCATTCCTACGGTCCATCAACAGATCAATACAATTTTATATAAACAAAGATTTTTATTTTAGTGATCGCCAGGCTGATGGATCAAAGACAGAAGGCACTTGAATGCCATCTCCTTATTGTGGACAGGAGCACGCTTAATCTGCATCAGTAGAGTGTTCAATAACATTTAGTCAGCAGCATATGTTATGTGCCATCTCTAAGATTATATGGTTTTGGTACCTAGGTGGAACTCTCTTAGCCCTGCAGTTGCCGGGGGAGTAGAACATTTTTTAAAACCGATTTTACTGATCAGAATATGCAGCTACTGTTGGTTTTAATAGTTTGTTTTACACTTGAGGATTGATTTTGTAAGAATCACGATTCGGTTGAATTTCGGTCGATTGGCGATTCTACCAAAACAATAAATTCAAGCTACCATACAGACTAATCCCAAAGCAAGCAAAGTGCCCAATGGCTAATTGCCTCAGGTTTAGGGTGTATTTGCCACCAGTGGAAAAAATGGTTAAAAATAGCCCGTGTAAGTTACTATGACCCTCATGTTGGTACAAGGAAGGTTTTATGACCTTGTCCATCCCCCAAGTTAGGCACCAAGGTAGCTAGGAGTCCTAAAGACCCTTGCAATCTCCCAACAACAACTAATAAAATAATAAAACCTTGTGCTTTCCAGCAGATGTCGTCTTTTTCATTAAATCTTCTTTTCTTCAGCCCCCACAAAAAGCCAAGTAAATATTACCAATGTAAATATTAAAAATAAAAGACCATTGCTGAAAAAACAAAAGGATATGAAACCATTGCACATGGCTGTATCTTGAAATTTCCCAAGGAAGAGTGGCTGAACGCCTTTGGGGCAGAGCGTAACAACCCCCAAAAAACTTTATTTTTTTATTTTTTAATGGCCACAAAATGACAATCTATCAAATAGGATAAGAAGACCATGTGTGTTTTCCACTAAATATAGAGTTTGGCACATTGAATGCATATCTTCATAGTGTGTTTGTATATGTATGTGTAATATGTAATTATTTTATAAGCTGCACGTCCATGTGAAAATGTGCATTAATGCTGTACATGGCACAATAGATTTTCACGTTTGTGTATGACACATTATTTCCATGAACCCTTTTAATATGTGCATACATTGACCCGTTTTCTTTTGGTTCTGAGCCTTGACTGTACTAAGTGTATCCTCAGGAGCACTCCAGAATGCATGGCCTTTTGGAATATGTGTATTATTTATTTTTGTTGTATTAAAACAAGTCCCGTATGAGCGCTGTTCTGATTCAAATTGAAACGGCATTAGGTTTTCCACGAGCAGCTTGGTAGTTGCAGCAGAAAGTAATGGTGTGCTTTTTAAAACTGCGTTATCACCACATTTCTTTGTTCAATCTTGAATGTGTAAATAAAGTCAGCATGGTGTCCCCAGCTCTGCCAGATCTTCTCTCTCACTCTTTCATTGTAGCAGGAGCAGGCTTGTCCGGGTAGTTCAGGCTTCTAGCATATTTGCAGAATGTGACAGGTAGAGGTAGTGAGTGGGAATGGGGGGAGGGGAAGGTTTATATATTGTTGCAATCTATTGATCTGTCTACCTTTATACCTCTGGAGCTGTCTCTAGGGTGTGTTGTCATATATACATGTATAAGCTACATGTATGTAGATCTGTATATGTGATGCAAGCTTGTACCAAACAAAGGGGATTATGTATGGAGATCAGCCAAAGTAATGCAAATAGATTATAGAAACTAGATGTAACTAGAAAGAAATAAATTTAAGCTATAGTGAATTGTTCATGTATGGCATGTGTATTCTGACCTACCCATTTTTATTTTTATTTTTAAATACCCCTTTTTTTGTGGTTTTCTTATGAATCGTCTGCCTCAGAATCATAATGTTAAAGGATCACTATAGGGTCAGGAACACAAACATGTTTTCCTGACCCTATAGTGTTAACACCACCATCAAGCCCCCCCCGGTCCCCTCATGCCTCCATAAATATAGCAACATCTTACTGTATTCAAGCCAGACGCTGTAACTCTGCATGCTGTTCGCCTCAAATAAAAATAAGCAGTGTGCTGACCTAATCAGAAGTGGTAGCCTGATCCAATCACAGTGCTTCCCCATAGGATTGGCTGAGACTGACAAAGAGACAGATCAGGGGCAGAGCCAGCATGATTCAAACACAGCCCTGGCCAATCAGCATCTCCTCATAGAGATGAATTGAATCAATGAATCTCTAAGAGGGAGTGTCTGCCTGCAGAGGGAGGGGATACTGAATGTTTGGATGCATTTTAGGCAGCCATTACCCAGGAAGGATCTCTAACAGCTATCCGAGGAGTGGCCAGTGAAGTTATCACTAGGCTGTAATGTAAACACTGCTTTTTCTCTGAAAAGACAGAGTTTACTGCAAAAAGCCTGAAGGTAATGACTCTACTCACCAGAACAAATTCAATAAGCTGTAGTTGTTGTGGTGACTATAGTGTCCCTTTAAACATTGAAAAAGTTAGAAAAGTATACATTCAGGTTCCTACTTACAGCAACTTTTATTCTGTAACATATGGTTAATGTATAGTGCAATGTTAGCTAACCTTGGCAACCACAAACAGCGGAACAATATATTACGTGCTGCTCTACCAACCTAATGGCGGGGAAGTGTAGCTCTTTATCTACAGATCGAAGCTAGCCAACATTTCCGTAATGCCATCTTTGTACTGAACATTCAGTAGGAACACAGAGTTTCTAAAGCAAATTTGTAAATTTAATTTGAGTTAACATTTTTTGTTTTGCTTTAGGAATCTGAGAAAAAGAGCATCAGAGACCGAATTCAGATGGTGCAAGACATTGTTATAACGGTTCAGAATGTTTTGGAAGAAATTGCATGTTTTGGCGAAAGGATTAAAAAGTAAGTTTGCATTCTATTTATCCAGTTCTATAGGTAGCTAAGGAGAACAAAATAAAATCACAATTGCCTACACATTTTTTTTCATGAGCTACAAGGAGCAGAATAAGTTCTGTGGAGTGTCCATCACTGAGTTTTAGTTCACCTGTGCTATTTACAAATCTTTCAATAATCCCAGGAATGCATAAATATTATGTTTTATGCCAATCCTTGGTGTTCACATGTTGCATGGTAAGGGATCTCGCTCCTCTGTCCCTTGCATTGACATAGTGACCGTGTTAAATCTGACATGACGTCCACATGTTCAGTATGGTACGAGAACATCCAGTTCCCTCGGAGTCGACCATTTAGCCTCAGTATGGCTCTGGGCCGAGGTGCAGGGGTTCGCATTGCCAATCGTATTATTGGTCCACTTGTTAAACTCATTAATATTTGCTGAAACCACAAATAAGTAAAAACATAAACTGTGGCTAAAACCCACATGAAAACTGTTTTTTGGGGTATACGGATTACGTCTCTCTACTTAACAAAAAATATACACAAAGTCAAAAAAACTATATTTTAACATATGCCATTTTGTCTCCCTCCTGCTTGACAGTTCAAATACAGAGACAAGCATGAGTACCTATCTCATATATTTAAGATTTACATTTAAATCTCCCCAAACTGCCATGCACAGAATGAGAGATCACCATTTAATGATTGTGCATATACATTTTAAGTGGGCAGCAAAATGACTGGCATATACATTGTTATCCATATTCTTCAACTCTGGGGACATTGGAGTCACTTTGCCACACCTCAGCATCTTCATAATCTGTCCCGGGGACTATGTGTGTGCAAACAGGTGGTGTCTGATAATTTCTAGTGTCATTCTGTCCACCTGGATTACAGGTAAGCCTTTCAGACAGACCCTGATGCTGACATCAGCATAATGGACACAGTTAAGAATTAAATGGTATTCCACTCAGACTCTGCATATTATCTGGGAAATTAATGGAAATCCTCAATCAAAATATGATGTATATTTTTTAATTCTATATTGATCTACTGGACACAAAAATTGCTTTGGGTTAAATATTGTGAAAGGTTTTCAGATATCCGATCAGAGGTTGTGCGTATCATTTGTATTCCTTTTTTTTTTTTGCTGTAGCCTTGAACGTATGCATTTTAATTGTCAGTGCCTTTTTCTGCAAAAGGTTTTAAAGTCATTCAAGGAAAAAACAACTATCCAACCTTTTTAAGCTCCCCAGGAGCCTGACTAAACTCTCTCCTGATTACACTCCACTGCTTCTCCTGTGCAGCATGAAACTTGGGCAAGCAGTTATTTTGAGTAAAGCGTTGTACCATAGGGCTTCAAATTAGAATTCCACTGTGTGGCATCGCGTACAGTACAGAACACTTAAATGGTTATGGGAGGTGGACCAGCAACTAGCAGCCACAGGAGCTCCTGAGCACCTGCTGTCAAGGCACATACAGTATTGTTTATATATGGATGTGTGCATTCATGTAAGAGCACTGGGCGAAGGAAGTGTTATGAAGACATCTAGTAAATCTATTGATTTCTGGGAGGAAAAAATGGGCTCTGTGAGAGAAATGCTTTTTTGGCACTCTGATTTAAACCTTTCCATAAAATTTTGAAAGAATATTTTTATTTTTCAAGTAGACACATTGTTTTTATTAACCAGAGCAGTAAATAAAACTCGTCCTGGAGATGTTTGCACTGTCCAGCCATTTGTACTGTCTAGCTCTGCCACATTCAGGGGTTCATTGACAAGGTTGTAATATCCTGCTTTTTCAGCTCGTTACACGGTGGCAACATATTTTATCATGTCAGATGTTTTTTGTCCCTTATATCACAGTATTTATTAAGGCAATAGTGAACTGTTATTTTTGACTCATTTACATTATTTCTAGGGTTTTCTATGTGGCAATTTCAATAGCAATACTATAGCTCCTTATTTTGAGAGAGGAAAAAAAATACTGATGCTATCTTTTCTGACAAACTTTCATGCTGTTGCCATCCACAGTGTATCATTTGAGGTCAATACAGAACCCAGCTGTGATAGATGTATAATACGGGATTTCTTAGTCTAGAACATTGTGCACTGACCTGGTCTCCTCAGGGACTGGGGTTAGTTACGGAAACAATTTTGTCAGAATGCGATCTGAAGTACACTAGTAGCCTTCAAGAAAGAATTGCAAAGAACAAGAATTTGGGGGCTTAATAATATTTTAACAATATAAATATAAACTGCATGACAAGATGTAGACCTTGGCGTGAAAAAAATGCACTTCTGGTAAAGGTGTTAATACATTCCTCTTCATTTCTCAGTCTGGTTAAAGAGGGAATTTTGATGTAATGGGTCAGAATAAGCTAGAAGTGGGAGCTGGTGAAATGTTATAGAATGGCTAATATTCTGGATAACATGTTTTGGATGAGTATGCGGGGAAAGCAATGGAGAACATACTTGTTGAATAAATTGCTGAATTGGAATTAAGTGTAGGGAGTGCAAGGAAAGATTGCAGTTGAATTCAAATAGTATAAAGCACAGCAGTGTTAAGCAAGGTATATATGTGTTATATGGGGGTATGTGTATATATATATATTTTTTTTTTTTCATTTACCCGTCCCCTCCTAATTCCACCGTATGTGATTTCTCTTGTAAAGAGTAAAAAATTCAGGGGCAAAGATAATGTACATTTAAAATGTGAGATAAAATGGTGCTTTGTGTGTTGTGGTTATTGCCCCTAATGGAGCTGCTTAAATAAATGACTTTTCAATTTATTTTTTAATCTGTTTAAATATATATATTTTTTATTTTTTTCCACAGCACTTTTAACTGGAGTGTCCCTTTCTTATCATTTCTTGCGTGCTCTGTACTCCTGGTCGCAACAATTGTTTTGTATATTATACCCATCAGGTATATCATCCTATTATGGGGTAAGTTGGCCTTTATAATGCTTTTTGTTTTTATGTAAAACCAAAAAGAAAATATGCATGTTCCCCCAAATACACCCAGTATGATGTGTAACGTTTCATTCTTTCACAGGAGAGCTAGTCACAATGCCCTGACCTTTCTGGAAATGTTTCAGATACACAATACAGGAGACTGGATGCTCTAAAATCTGTACTCCAAATCTAGAAGGCATGGTTTATAATGGGTTTTTGTTTTCTTAAGAATGCCTCTCAAATAAGTCCCACTGTAATAGAAAATCTGTTAATACATATGGTGGCATTACATTGTAACAAGGCTGGAATAAACCATTACAAAAGATGGAAATGTATGCAGAGTAATATGGGTGGTTTTACATGTATATCTAATCCGTTTCTAACTTTAAAGGAACACTACGTTTTTTTTTTCCCCTTCTTCATTGGGGGTATATATAAAAATCACTTGCAAAACCTGCTGATCTTTTTGTCTGAGTCCTTTGCAAGCCATCCTCTTCTAACCTCGCCCAGACTTTCTGTGGCTGTCCAATCACAGACTACTTTCAATGCAATGAAAAGTCTTTGCAAAGCTTGAGCCAAACAATCCGGAAGTAACAGAACCAATTGACAGCCAGGAAGGTAGAACAATGTTAATTTCTACTGAAATCTGTAAATTTTTGTAAAATGGGTGAAAAAAAACAAACTCTTGACACAAAGCACTTCAGCAAGCTAAAATGGTCTGGAGTGTCCCTTCAAAGTTCATTGCTGGAGTGTTTCACTGAAGCAGTCTGTATAAAGCTATGTTTTTTGTTATTTTGGGAGGGAGATTATTTTTTATTTTATTTTTTCCTCTGTGAAATTGGTGTGTAAATTTATTTGCACTTCCATTCTGCTACAACTCGGTTGAAATCCACCAAATCTCACAAACCGCCAACTTGCAAACCGCATTTTTAAAATGTTCTCTTTATTTTTGTAGTGTATTTTTGTAGCGTAGAAAGTGGTCCAATTCGCCTGTAATATGGCTGCAGCTGTGAGATCCATTTGAAATTAACAGGGATCTGTTCAGCTCACTTCAGTTAGATTGGTTAAGTAAATAATGTGAAGCACAGATAAATATTTAACGACCAAATGCGGAAGAATTAGTTGAATAGTCAATTTAGTGAATAGACTCTCGAACAATATATATATTTAATTATTTTATTTTTCTTCCACAGGTATCAATAAATTCACAAAAAAGCTTCGGAATCCGTACTCAATTGATAACAATGAATTAATGGATTTTCTTTCCAGGGTACCATCTGATGTTCAGAAGGCAAGTATTAAACTTGGCACTATTCTGTATTAAGTTTAGCCCTCTCAGATCCACTACTGCTCACAGTAAAGAATAAGCAAAGAATTTCTTCTTGAGACTTAAAGGGAAACACTCCCTCAGAGTATTGGAGACTCAGAGCAAACCATGTGTATTGCTAAAGCTGGGCAAATGCCAATAACAGTGTTTATTTCAATACCACAGCTGAGGCGTTGACTATTGAACTATTTTTTACATGATGGTATATGAGTGTATCCTGTTACAGATCTTACCCAAAACTGGCAAAGATCATCAATGAAAATATACTGTCTCAATAGTTGTGGTTATTGCTGATAGTTGCTCTCATATATCCGCGCAGACCCAATTTTATATCCATTATACCCCCCAGAAAATATGTTTAGTGTAATCTCCTAATCTCTGCTCATACCCAGGGCCGTGAGTCCCCATGAGGTGGGCAGCGAGGGAGCATACCCACCTGAGCTCTTCCTGCTCAGCTCCCTCACGCGCCGCTTTATGGAGCCGGAATATGACGTCAGACCGGCTCCCAGCATCACTAAGCGGTGCACAAGGGAACTGTGCAGGAAAATCAGAGCTCCCTCGCCGCCTACACAGTCTGTATGCCCCTTGCCTGCCCGACCAGCAGCCCCACTGGACTTCAGGTAAGCAATCCACTCCAGCTCTCCCAGGGAGGCTGGGTGGATTTAAAATAAAATGTAAAAGATAATTTGTGAGTGTTGGGAGAAATGTGTGTGTCTGTCAAACAGGAAGGGGTGGGGGGGGGTGTGCCCGAGCACCGTCCTGCCTAGGGCGGCACAAATCCTAAATACACCACTGCTCATACCTGACGTCTGAAAGACTTTAAGGAACCTCATGTCTCTCGTGCATATTCTGCACAGTGAATAGTTACAAATGTTACAGCAGTGGAACCCAGAAAGCATTCAGAGTTGGCTCATGATGTGGATGGTGGTAGGGGAGTTTTATGATCTTATGTGGTTTTATGATCGCAATGTAAAATCTAATATTGAAATTTCTCCTCAGATGTTAAACTTTATTCTGTTTCAAGTAAGAATTTGTCCTCAATGGGTTCTTGGAACATGATAGGACTGGACCTTGACCTTGAATGTAATGACAGTTTGTCACGATTGTCATGTCTGAGAAAGCCCTTAGAATTAAGACATTAGGAATTCATATTGTTTACCGAATATATTTTTGTTTTGATTATTTTTAATTAAATTTGCAAACGATCCAAATCTGAAACCATTTCTTATGTATGGTCTGGAACTTTGCTGGAAATCTGTTTGTAAAGAGAGCATTGGAAAGCACTGTTTATATAGCCTTGTGAGCTGTTGTTATGGGATATCTGCACTAGCCAAGGCTGAACGAGACCTTCTGTAACCTGTCAAATGCTGAATGCATTTTAGACAAGATTGCACGTTGCATTAAATCATAATTTATCATCACAGGGCATGTTATTTCAACAGTTTTTATGCTGTTCACAATAAAATTCCAGCTCCCATTTTAAAGGACATATATTATGAAAATGTTGCTACTTCTTTAAATAGAACATAAACTTTGATATTCGAAGGATCTAAATATAATATTATATTTGTTTATTAAAAATATACATAGAACTGTCTTCCAGCAATGAATAAGTTAATGAAATAATACTCCCACCATTTAGCTTTATATCCGCCTATTGGGAAATTGCTATTTATAGGGATTTACTTAAATTGTTAAGGGGGGATAATTATATTCTCTGGGGTGTTTTTAATTCACTTGTTCAGAACGCGGTAATAGCCTTAAGTCCGTCTAAAGACACCTACATGACACTGCTAGAATCAACTAGGAACCCTTACGACTCATTAAAAGAGATATGCGTTTAATATTTGTACACCGCAAAATAATGCAAGTCTTCTGAAATCTGACTTGCAATTAATTCCTTATGTTCTTGTGTTTAGAAAATGATTCATTGCCCTGAAACTTCTTCGGTTTTCGTGCGCTTGTCCTTAGGGAACCATTAACTCAATCCGAAGAAATCTAGTCACTTAATAGTAAATGGTATGTCTGTTCATTTATACAGGTGCAGTACGTTGAACTGAAACCATACAGCAACCAAGGTGTTCTAAGGAAGAAGCGGAGTGGGCTGTAAAGAAGACATCTTATTTACTGTGCAAGATTTTAACACTAAATCAATATAATTTTCTGGACTCCAATGGACAAATAGTAGAGTAACTAAAAAAAAAAAAAAAACCTTACTGGGGGGGAAGAAAAAAATCTGAACTTTTTGAATGATTTTCCCAGTCCTTACAAAGCCTGCCAATTTTGTAGGTAGACCACTCCAGGTTTGGTTTGTCTTTCCATTCTGCAGTACCCAATATTACATATGAGCCATTGAGAGAGAATTTGTCGGTTGTGTCCAAAATGACTACAGAGCTGAAAATATTTTAAAGGCCGTAAAACCTATTTTATCAATATATTTAAGTTTCCTTTAATTGTATTTATTAAGATAAAAATGCCTTAATACATTCACTTCATGGCACCAAGATTATGCTCTTCAAAATGTTCTCTAGAAATCATGATCATCTTTGAACTTTTATGTGCTTTGCATGTTTATTATTGTGTAATATATCCTCTAAAGGGGTGAGAAAATCTCCATATGCTACCATAAATGCATACAAAGAACTTCTATTATACTGGAGTGCAGTACACCCTTACAATGCCAATGTTTACACATTCATTTTGAATGTTTTCTAATCCAGTGTTTATTCCGTAGCTTGGGGACTTCAAACCATATGGGTTCTAAGGATTAAGGGATGTATAGGTAAATTTTACCCTAAAAATCTTACCCCAAGCAACATTTTTCTTGTTTCTATTTTTATTTAAGGAATGGAGAACTTTGCATTTGCACCTTAATCACAGCTGAGCTGCATACATAGTGTACATTACTATTTGTTTACCTTGCACTTTCTGCACAAAGACACTACATAATCTGTAAAGTATTTCAAGCACAAATGCATTATGAGGGTCGGAAACCCTTTCATTATATAGGTGTTTGTTAAAGTACGTAGAGGACGGAGCACAAAGGAAAAACATGCATTTTGCTAGCCCATTTAGTTACGATGGCATCATGCATACAATAATGTATATAGGAGAATTTTCTCCCTTTGCCTGCTGCTCAGTTTGACTATACAAAATATATATATATGGCAGTGAATGTTCAATAAATGTGCCAAAGAATCGTTTATTTTTTATACATTAAAAAGAGGCTAATTTATGTTTTTTGGAGTCGTTTACTACCTGAACCAACAGAGAAGCAACATTATTAACATACACATGTGATCCAGGAATGTATTTTGCTTGAATGGATTTATTCATTGTTATAGTGTTGCTTAGATATTAAACGTTAGAGATGAATCCAGGTACACTGAAGATCAACATTGTGTTGCAGAGCAACACGTTGCTGACCTCTCCTAGAGGGCTAAATGCATGCATAGTAGTTTTTTTAACTTTTAGACCAAAGACCAAATCAATTCACATGATTGCTTTTATATACATTAAAACATCGTATGTAATATTATACCAAAATATATATTTTTTTCCTATTTTTTTTTTTTTTTTTTAAAGCCTTTAGCAAGATGCTGCTTTTTCTCTTTTTCAGATCCAGGGAGACTAAACTATCTGTGTCAATCATGTGTTGTGTTAATATTGCAAAGCAAGGTGGTAGTTTGTTAATAATTGTAAAAAAATAAAATTTCTTAATTTTAAATGTATAGTTTGGCTTTAGTCTAGACATGTATTTTTGTACTAAATAAACATATTTTTGTTGTAAATGAACCATTTGTATACAGCCAAGAGTGGCTCAGTAAAATTGTATTATAATCAAACACCCTGAATCGTTGTCTGGGTTTATTTTATTTTTTTTTTTGTTACCCATGCACCACAAACTTGATTGAAAAGAGAAGCTGGACATCAGTACCTCCTGTACTTTTTTTTTTTTTGTCCTAGTAAGGGAAAGCAGGTCAATGCCTGCAAGTATGTTTATGTAGTGATAGGCAGATGTAAAATAAGCCCTTTCCGTTAAATATCTACAAAGACACCTAAAATCTGTCTGACTTTATTTTTGTGAATACTCTTCATGTGTGGGACAATATACAAATGGCAAATACTTTTTTGCATAATTACATTTTTCATTGAGCAAAAAAAAACCTATTGCATCCTGCATGTATTGATGATGTGAAGAAGGGAAGAGTCTTCCAAGAACAAAAGGTCAGATCTTAAATGAAAAGTGTTTGTTTGTTTTTTTTTTTAAATCCACAGCCAACTGGGGATCAAAAGTACATACAATTTTAAATGGAATTTCTTTGCAGGAAAATATAGACTTGTATTGAAAAAAATTTGCTCAGCCCTAAATGTTGGTGTCAGTTAAAATACCATACTAACAAAGGAAAAAAAACAAAGATGCATGCAAACTCTGGTCAGCTCTTAAATCATTCCTTGTAAGCATTTGTCTTTTGCATCACTGTCGGTCTTGTTCTGCATATTTTTGGTATTCCCTATGCATCGTTAACAGTGATTGTCATCTAATTAGATCACTGCTCATCACAAGTGCCTTGTTTTATCCTGTGATAAGCATCCAGAGCCTGCTACTGTTTCCCCCCTGATCAATAATGATGTTCCCTCAAGGATTACAGAAGAGTCCACGGTTGAGCAGGGCACACAAATTAATTGGCAAATTTTATTTATTTAACTTTCAACACATTTTAATTGTTCATCGCTGATGTTCTCTACTTTTGAAAAGAAAATGCTAAAGGATTGCAATGGTTTCCCGTGCCAGATCATCTATAGGAACGGTCTATCAAGTTCTGCCCCATGCAAGCATGATGCTTGGAATGGGAGGTAAAGAATGTTAGCTGGTGTTCCATAGAATGACTTTCTATCAAGTGCCTATGCCTTGGCTCGAGCTCATGGACTTACTAAAAAAAAAAAAATCTCGATTTTGTGTTTAAAAAAAAAAAAAAAATACAAAATACAAAAAACAGCCCATGTAAATCAGGATATTTTGGTTGTTTGCAATGGATTTGTTTGCAATGCACAAATAGCTTGCTAAAAATCTTTGATTAAATTTGAGAATATTTCCCCCGCCTACAGGTATACTATTTTGATCTACATTTTGCAAGATGGTTATCCACTCATTGTAACTCAATCCTATCATTTTCCATCTAGAGGTGTACAATAAAGGTCTTCAAATTTTGAATACTTGTGTATTACAGTTAAAGTAAAAGATAAAGATTTAAAGGAACACTATTCGGTCAGGAACACAAACCTGTATTCCTGACTTTATTGTGTTAAAACCACCATCTGCCCCCTCCCCCCCCCCCCAAATATTGTGAAATCTTACTTTTGTTCAAGTCTGCAATTGCTGGCTCTGACCCTGATCTGCCAGTTTGGCTAACATCATCAGAAGGGATATTCTGAGCCAGTCACAATGCTTTCCCATGGGATTGGCTGAGACTGACTTGTGCTGGCTCTGCCACCATGACAAACACAGCCCTGGCCAATCAGCATCACCTCAGAGATACAGTGACTCAATGCATCTATGAGGAAAGTTCAGTGTCTCTATGCAGAGGGTCAAGACAATGAATGGCATGCTTTACTGACCCAGGAAGCACCTCTAGTAGCCACATGAGGAGTGGCCACTGGAGATGTCCATAGGCTGTAATGTAAACACTGCATTTTATCTGGGGAAAAAACAGTTTACTGCAAAAAGCCTGAAGTGAATGATTATACTCACAAGAACAAATACAATAAACTGTAGTTGTTCTGGTGACTATAGTGTCGCTTTAAGCAAATATTACTGAAAATTTTGAGAAAACACAAACCTTATCCGTAAGTGAGCATTTTAAAGGAACATGCTAAGCAAAACTATTATAGCTCACTGTAATGATTATAGCACCAGGAGTGTCCTGGCACCTTCCCCCATTAATTAGTCAACCACTTTAAGGACTGTTTGACAACTTACCTGGAGTTTGACAGACTTTCTCTGCAACCAGAAAATTCCCGGACTGGCACAGAAGTTGGCAAACCATTCTTAAATGGTTTGACTATTTACTGTGGGAGGGCAAGAGGGTACTTCTGGCACCAGACCCACTTAAGCACACATAGGTGGTTATGATGCTTGGAGAATTCCTTTCATATTTTCATGTGGAAGAAACGTCAAAGTAATTTAAGAAATTAAACAAAATTGCAAATCCTGTAGGTCATGTAAAATGAGTCACACCAAAACTAATCTATTGCGCAAAAAGAGTTTAAGTAGATCCAAAAACAATACTAAAATGCACATGTATGAATATATGCAATACGTTTGATTGTCCGTCAGCACAGAGATTCACGTCAAATGGAAATGCCAGCCCTATGTTTTAGAATGAATCCTGAGAGCGGCTTTTAAAAGTAAATTCAAGAAATATGTAATTTGCTATTTTTTTTCCAGAAGTATTCTAGAACAGTGATCACTGATTTTTGAATGGGAATAAGACACTTTTTCAGAGCTGTTCTGTGCTAGTTGTATCTTCATATTTGGTACCATTTATATATCTTAGGGTTTGGTTTAGGAAGCCAAATTCAAGAAGGTATAAAGGTTTGAGTTTATATTGGTACGGTTGGGGTTTTGGTGAATACTGTTAAAGAGAAACGTTAACGATAATCTCACAATTGTTAGCGTTGCTGGTGTTCCATAAATAACTATAATGCCAAAATGAAAATGTTACCCAACATTTTAAACCATGATCAGCTTGTTGAAATAGTGGGCAGATCATGTAATATGTACATAAAGGATACATAATAAATTGAGTCTTACTGGGAAATAATGCCACAGAGCATCACCGAAGCAGTGTATATATCCCTATATAAGTGTCACAGTTTATGTATGGTCTATTGTACATGATTCTCATTTAGGTGCTGGAATTAAAGTTAGTGCTTTAATCTCTGTACTATATTGAGATGATTGATTTTCTGCCAAAAGAACATGTGTTTATTAAAGGGTTACCAATAAATACCGTCACACTTACACCATAAATAAATGGTGAAACATTAAACGTCTAGATGCCAGTCAGGCAAAATAGCCTGGCTGCCTTTTTCAAATCAAACTTTCCA